AATAATAATAAGATAATGACAATTATAATAATGGTAATAATAATAAAGAAATAACAATAACTCTGATAATAACAATAATATTATTAACAATAATAATTATCATTACAATGATAATGATAATAATCATGATAATAGTAATAATGATAATAAAGGTAGTAATGATGCTACTAATAATGATGATAAAGATAATGATAGTACTACGAAAAATAATGATAATGATGATAATAGTAATAATTATCATGATAATAATAATAGTAATTATGATAATGATGAAGATAATGATAATAATGATAATAACTATAATAAAGGTTATGATAAAAGTATCAATAATCATAATCAACAATAATAATAAATACCAATGTTCATGATAACAATGATATTGATAATAGCAATGATAGTAATAATAATAATGATAACAATGATGAAATGATAATGATAAGAACAAGAATATCATTAATGATAACAGTAATGATAATGATAATGATATTGATATTGTCATAATAATAATAACAAAAATGACATTAATGATAACGATAATAATAATAATAATAGTAATTATGGTAATGACAGTATTCAACGTTCTACAGGATACATCACTGAACGTCACATGACATGGATGCCTTTTGCAGTTACTGCAATAATTTTCTTTACTTGTAGTTGCTATCATCGATGCCGCAAAAAAAAAAAAAAGTCTTTCAAATGGAGGAAGCGAGAAAGATGATTTTTTTGTTGTTATTTTATATTCATTTATTCTGTTATTATTTTTTGTGTGTGGTGTGTGTACACATGTATAAATTAATCTTGTATGTATGTTCACACACACACACACACACACACACACACACACACACACACACACACACACACACACACACACACACACACACACACACACACATATATATATATATATATATATATATATATATATATATATATATATAATACATATATACATATGTGTGTGTGTGTGTGTGTGTTATGTAAAAATGCATATGCACATCATACACGCATACAAACGCACGCCCGTTAAGCCCCATTCGCCCATATCACAAGCCAATGGCGACGAACCACACGCCTCCCCTAGGAAGCGTTGCCCCGAAGCCACAAAACCCCGTCCAACCAAACTCTCGCGGCGACTCTGCTTCCACATTCTCTCAAGAACTCGTTGATGTTAATGGGAAATCTATTCTTGGTAAATAAATTTGTTCGATGTTATTTTTATCTGAATTCAGGCCCTCGACGTGTTCGCAGTTGTTGTTTTTTTTACGTAAGGAAATTGTAAAATACTTTTTGCTTGTCTCCAGAATGTCGGGGAATTTAAGTCATGGCTTATCAATTGCCAATTGCGGTTTCATGGTACTTCGTAAATTGTTTTGTAATGGCCATCACCTGCACGCCAATGCAACTAGCACACATTCTCTCTCTCTCTCTTTCTTCTTTCTCTCTCTCTTCTGTCTGTCTGTCTGTCTGTCTTGTCTCTCTCTCTCCTCTCTCCTCTCTCTCTCCTCTCTCTCTCTCTCTCTCTCTCTCTCTCTCTCTCTCTCTCTCTCTCTCTCTCTCTTCTCTCTCTCTCTTCTCTCTCTCTCTCTCTCTCTCTCTCTCTCTCTCTCTCTCTCTCTCTCTCTCTTCTCTCTCTCTCTCTCTCTCTCTCTCTCTCTCTCTCATACTTTCTAATAACAATGATAATGGTGATAACAATAATGATAATAATGAAAAAATTAACAATGATAAAAATAAAATGATGAAAATAGCAAAAATAATGATATTGATGATAATAATAATGATAGTTGTAATAATAAATCTAGTTTGTGCATTGTATGTTTTTCTTCTATTCTAGACATATGATAATGACAGTTATAATAACAATGATAATGAAAAATGTCACTAACAATATTAATCAGTTAAAATGGCAATAAAAACGATAGTTATTACTCAGCGTAATTAGTAGCAACAACAGTATTATTTTTCTGATCATCAACGCAAATATACCAGTGGTAACGGCGGTAAGGTTAATAATAATGATAGTAATAATAGTAATAATAGTAGCAATATAATAGTAGTAATAATAGTAGCACTGATAGAAAACGTTAATGACCGTTATTATCTTCTTTCTGTCCCCGTCTTTTACCAAACAAAAGAAACACAACAAGCGCCCCCAGAAGCGGGAAATATGAAGATGGACGAACCCTGAGGCTTTATTTCACTCTCTTGCCGGAGTTTATGGCTCATCTCATGATTAAAGATGAATGTCTTGAGGAGCACCATCTTTCCTTGTCGTGAACGAGTTCGATTTTGCTTTCGCAGGAAAGAAGTTGTGCGCTGAGAATCCTCGACTTTGTGTGCGCGCGTATTTGTTGGTTTATTCGTCAAATTATTCGTTTATTGGTTTATCTATTGATCTCCCTGTCTGCAAATTTGTTTAGATGGTTGTTTATTCATTTATTCGCTGTGTAAAACATTTAAAATAGGTTGAGTTTTGGATATTTGGAACTAGTTTACTTGGCGGTGGAGCTCCAAGTCGATGTTTCATGTTCAATGGCGGTTCGAACACCCATTTCGGTACAAAAAGATTAGTAGGAGAAAAGGAGTTCTTATTGTATTTCTTTCATGTTCTTTCACAGGTAGTTTCGTGTTGTTAGATATTAGAAAGGAAACATTTGTCTTTGTTTTATGCTTTTATCTGCTTAATGTTACTAAATTTGTTTGTACTCTCATCCACTGACTTGGGTACAAGGTAATGAGAAAAGGGATAAATGCGCATTGCTGGATCAAGAAATACCCACAGCTTATAATATTCTTACTTTCATCAGTTTAAAGTTCTGTTACAAATTAACAATTAAGCTGGCCATGTAAGCTGCATATTATAAAATGGAATCAACTTTATTCTTACTTTCATCAGTTTGAAGTTCTGTTACAAATTAACAATTAAGCTGGCCATGTAAGCTGCATATTATTATAAAATGAAATCAACTTACTTGGACATTAACGTGATTGTCTCATAAATAACGGAATCAGGATACAGGGACGCCAGCCTTCTCGTCCATTCCGCTTTCCTTCCGTCCTTGCACTTGAGAGTCCCGTTCCTTGGTCGCCATTTCGTTCCGCTGTTCCGGCCGGACGCTCGCCACTCCTCGCCGGAACTCATTTATGCAAGCGGGAGGAAGGGTGGGGTGGGGGGGGGTGATTGGGAAGGGGTGGGGGTGGGGGGTGATTGGGAAGGGATGGGGGATTGGGGGTGATTGGGTAGAGGTGGGGGTGGGGGTGATTGGGTAGGGTTGGGGTGGGGGTTGATTGGGTAGGGATGGGGGATGGGGGGTGATTGGCAGGGATGGGGAAGTGGAGGTAATTGGGTAGGGATGGGGGTGGGGGGTGGGGGTGAATTGGTAGGGGGTGATTGGACAGGGGGTGAGGGGTGATTGGGTAGAGATGGGGGATAGGGGGTGATTGGGTAGGGGATTGGGGGGTGGGGGTGATTGGATATGGGTGGGGGTGGGGGGTGTTGGGTAGGAAGTGGGGGGAAGGGGGTGAATGGGTGGGGGGTGATTGGTAGGGGTGGGGGGTGGTTGGGGTAGGGGTGGGGGCTTGGGTAGGGTGGGGGGTGGTTTGGTAAGGGATGGGGGGGTGGGGTGATTGGGTAGGGATGGGGGTAGGGGGGTGATTGGGTAGGGATGGGGTGGGGGGGTGGATTGGGTAGGGGTGATTGGACAGGGGTGAGGGGTGATTGGGTAGGGATGGGGGAAGGGGGTGATTGGTAGGGATGGGGGTGGGGGTGATTGATATGGGTGGGGGGGGGTGATTGGGTAGGAGTGGGGGGAGGGGGGGTGATTGGATAGGGGTGGGGGTGATTGGGTAGGGGGTGGCGGTTGTTGGGTAGGGGTGGGGGGCTTGGGTCGGGTGGGGGTGGTTGGTAGGATGGGGTGGGGGTGGGGTGATTGGTAAGGGATGGGGGGTAGGGGGTGATTGGGTAGGGAATGGGGGGTGGGGGTGATTGGGTAGGGGTGGGGGTGATTGGGTTAGGGGATGGGGGGTGATTGGATAGGGATGGGGTGAGGGGTGATTGGGTAGGGGTGGGGTGGTGATTGGGTAGGGGGGGGGTGGGTTGTGTGGGGGAATGAAACCCGTTCAGAGACCTTTTCCCTCACAGAAAAATCAGAGGAAAGAGGTAATGGTACATACACGTTTCTGCAGATACGCTTACATACTCAGAATGTGTGTGTGCTTATATATTTCTGTGTGTGTGGCATCCGTCGGCCATGAGTGGCTCTGGATCTTCCCTTTGAAAAAGACATGATCCTGAAATGGCCCTGGAAACAGTTTCCAGCTCAAGCTTCTCTGCATCAGCTGTTGTGTCGTCGGCTTCTGCATCAGCTTCTGCAAAGCTGTGTCGTCGCTTCTGCATCAGCTGTTGTGTCGTCGCTTCTGCATCAGCTGTTGTGTCGTCGCTTCCTTGCATCAGCTGTTTGTGTTGTTGTCGTCGCTTCTGCATCCAGCTGTTGTGCTGCATCAGCTGTTGTGTCGTCGCTTCTGCATCAGCTGTGTGTCGTCGCTTCTGCATCAGCTTGTTGTGTCGGTCGCTTCTGCATAGCTGTTGTGTCGTCGCTTCTGCATCAGCTGTTGTGTCGTCGCTTCTCTGCATCAGCTGTTGTTGGTCGTCGCTTCTGCATCAGCTGTTGTGTCGCGCTTCTGCATCAGCTGTTGTGTCGTCGCTTCTGCATCAGCTGTTGTGTCGTCGCTTCTGCATCAGCTGTTGTGTCGTCGCTTCTTGCATCAGCTGTTGTGTCGTCGCTTCTGCATCAGCTGTTGTGTCGTCGCTTTCTGCATCAGCTGTTGTGCGTCGCTTTTTGCTGTGTTGTCGCTTCTGCATCAGCTGTTGTTGTCGTCGCTTCTGCATCAGCTGTTGTGTCGTCGGCTTCTGCATCAGCTGTTGTTGTGTCTTCAGCTGTTTGTCGTCCGGCATCAGCTGTTGTGTCGTCGCATTCTCATCCTCAGTGTCTAGC